TCATTTGGTCACGAGTCATTTTTAAATGACTTGAAAATTAAATGACTCAAATAACCGGTCATTTTAAGGTCATTCTAGGTCATTAGTCATTTGAGCAAATGACCCGGTCATTTACCATCCCTGGTCAATAGTGAAAATTAACAATTTCTAGAAGACTATCATTCCTTTTTTTATGATGGTAATGAAGAGAAACTCAATAAATTAATAGATGATAATAGCTTAATTGAAGAAATGAATCTCCCAGATTTTATACCTAAAGTAATAAATTTTGAACTTGAAACGGTAAAAATAAATATTAAATTTATTAAATAGATAAATTTTAATTTATTCAGATTAATATTATTATTATATTAACAAAATATTTAGTTGAGCTCATTTAATCAAAATTTAAAAAATTTTTTTATAAAATACCAAAATTCTATATTTATGTCAAAAAAAATAGTAACATAAGTTTTGTATAATTTTAATTCATATAATAATTTGATTAATATCTTTATTCTTCAAATATTCAATAGACCAGCATATTGGAAGATATTAGACCTTACTAGAGAGAGCTTGTTCGATTAAAAAGAAATTGATAATGAATTGTTAAATGAAGTAGCACAGCTTTTTACAAATACGATTGCATGGTCACCAAAATCAGCTACTGAAAAATTGCAAGAGTACTTTAATAATAAATGTGAAGATGTGATTCGTGGATTTGAAAACCTACATATTTATATTCAATTTATGTAAGTACAATTAGTTTATTTCCTTTTTAAATTTTTACTAAAATATCAATACTTTTAATAATTACATAGCAAATTAAACATAGATCGATTAAAATGATTTATTAGCGAGCAAGAACTAAAAATGACCACAGTATTTCTACTAATTCGTGAAATATTTTTGCAAAATATAATAGATGATAAATGGTACGAGTATTGTGTTAAAAGCAACAAAGTGATCAAGTACATTTTTGAGAACCTTTAGTTTTAGAGGAGAAGTTCAATCTTTAGCAACAAATAAAGCTCGTAATGAGTCAAATAATCCTTTTTAACAAGCTAAAGTTGGTCACAAAGCAGACATAAAAGGAATATTAATGAATACTTCATGTAAATTAGAGGCCTTATATAGAGAAGTATCTGGAGGTTTAGGACCTTTTAGTCTATCAATAGCAAGTAGAAAGAAAAAGTATCTTGATAAAGTCAAATTATCCATCATGATGTGAGATTCTATTAATAAGGCTTTAAAGCAATAGAAGCATATTAGTGATAAAGCCAGAAAATCTTTGGTTGTATTTGGATTTACACAAGATGGTTTGTCAATCTTACTAGATCCACGATAGTTTATAAGAGTCGCTACTAAAGCAAATTTTTTAGAACTTGAAATAAATTTTTATGCAATATCTTGGTTTGAAGAAATCTATCTTTTTGAAAGAATTAACTTTTGCACAGTTCCATCAGAGAAGGATAATAGTTATTTATTTGAAGATATTTACTGTGTTCTTAAAAAACTTGAAGTATGTATTATTAACTTAAATATGACTTATAAATATTGATTAATATTAACTTTAAAATTACAGTTAAAATTAAAGAAAACTGAAGAAGCCGTAAGATATCTTCATAGTGAAAATATAAGAAACAAAAGAAGATTGATGTCTAAAGAAAATATTCCTATTTTAAATAGGAACAGAACACCAAAATAATTTGATATTTTGTGTCTTTAGGATATATATTTATTTATCAACATAGTAATTTTGGTATTTTAAGTCTAGAAAATAATTAAATTAAATAAAGAACTTAGTTCAATCGATTTTCTGGCTTTTAATGATTAATGTTTGTTCTTGTTATGTACTACCTTTACTTTTGTCTAATGTAACTTTGTGAATACTAAAATAATTTATCAGATCTATTATTCAGTTTCTATCTTGTACACATTAGTTAGTAATTTTATTTAGATATAATTTCAGGTGTCTGAAGTTACAACTTTAGGCAGGTGTAAACTTTAGATATGACAGTGTATTAAAATAAATTAAAAAGTAATTATTATTAATAAAACTGAATACTGTATTGTTAAAATATCAAATAATAATTTTATGTACTAAGAATTCATATGATGCTCATATGATGCTCATATAAAGATGTATTGGTCCCAAATCGGTCCTGCCAGTTCTAAGCAGATTGCAAGATTTTGAGTTTATTTTTTCTTCATGAGCCACTAATTAAAAGTTATTTTAAACAAAATTTTAATAGTACTTATTTATTGTTGGGAATGATGCTGAAATTTGGATGATCATAAAATCTAAAAACCCCATTGGCTAATCACCTAACTCTAACCAATCAGATGCATTAATTTCACGATCATCCAAATTTCAGCATCATCCCTGACATTTATTAAAAAATAGTGGAAAAACTTCTCAAAAATTCAAGAATTTCCAAAATATAAGGGTTAGAACCAGTCTTGGGACTGATTTAAAACTAATACAACCTTACTTGTTAGAGTAGATATGCTATAATTTCTTAATAGATAAGTACTACTGTTGTTTTAAATAACTTTAATTAGTGGCTCATGAAGAAAAGATGATTTCAAAATCTTGCAATCTGCTTAGAACTGATAGAACTGATGCGGGACTAATTCTTCACTATGCACATGTATTTAAATTAGTGTATAAATATCTTATTAAATTTATAAAGGAACACTAATTATTAAATTATTAACTACTCGCTATTAAAGTTATGAATCTACTTACTATTGAAATTATGAATACACTCGTTCATTGAAATCACAACATGACAATTGTCAAAATTATTAATCTTGCGATGAACCTTATATTGAGTTAAAATTAATAGTATATTTTTGGTCTTTTCCAGTTGTACATTAAAATAATATTCTAACCAATATAGCAGACTGCCTTTAGACACTCTTGAAGATATTAAATCAAAACTTAAACTAAATTGTATACAAAAATATATATTAAACACTTAATAAAGATAAGCAGCAAAGCTATCAAAGTTAAAAAAAATCAAAAAATAAAAAATTAAATATATTAAATCTAGACTATATTCAGATATATATCCAATATTCAAATCTAGTTTAAAAGTATTAAAAGTACAGTCAGACCTCTCTAAATGCATAGTCTATAAAAGACCTCTCTAAATGCATGATCTTGTTTGTCCCTAACTTATATGATACTTATAAATTTTTACTTCTCTAAATGCAATACCTCTCTAAATACAAAAATTTTTAGCTACTTCATAGCTATGCATTTAGAAAGGTCTGATTGTAGTTGAATATATAGACTAGGTGCTACAGAAAAAAGGAAAATTGACAATTTTTTAAAATTTATTTTTTTATATAAATTAATTTAAAATACAATTAAGATCATTTTTTACTTAAAACTCAAAAGTAGTTATATTAATAAAAGTTTGCAGTATAGCTCTTCAAAATTTATAATTTTTTATAGCTAATTATAAAATTTATAACATAAAAATAAATTTTCTAAAGATCTTTTTTTTTGTTGATTTTTTTTTTTTGTAGCATCTAGCCTATATGTTTAATGTTAATAACATTAAGTATACATATATATAATACTATTAGATACATGATTTGTTATATATAAAATTTTTAATTATAAGTCAAATTATTAATGCATTTAAATTTAATATATAAAATTTAGATAAATTTTATTTTTTAACTTATTTAGCAAGAAGAAGCTATTAGTTTAATTTTTGAATCCAAATTCATAAATTTTTTAGTATTAAAAAGTTTTGTTATAAAATTTAAAAATAGTTTATAAATAATATTAAAAAACATTATCATGAAATTAGCTAATTTTTAATAATTTTTACTATTTGTTTATAAGTAATATACATTATTTTATCAAATAAATAATTAGAATTATCAACAAAATTGATAGTCTTAATTATCTATTTTGATAAATAATATGTATTACTTATAAACAAATAATAAAAATTATTAAAAAATTAGCTAACTTAATATTATAATGTTTTTCAATATTATTTATAAACTATTCTTAAAATTTTATAAAAAGAAGATGTGGTGACTTGGTATAATTAGTAAGTTGTCAACCTCCAAATAGCAGGTCTAGTATTTGAATTTCATTTACAATGAAATTTGAAAATTATATCTGTATTATAACAAACTGTCTTTTAACTATCAGTTTAATTAGTGTATCTGTAATCTTAGATCAACTATCTTAAATAAAAGTTTAGAACATCTATATAAAGTGTAATATTATATATATATAAGAATGCTTATTTGTATTGCAAAAGACTTAGATGCAAGCCTATAATAAGACCACTAGATGCAAAAACTAAAAAATAAAAAGACAAAAACCTATTTGCAAATTTCTAAATAAAGAAAGATCACAAACTTTTAACAGTACTGTTGGACTGATAAAAGCCTTTAAACAATATTAAAAAAATAAGCAGATAAGCTAAATAACAAGTATGTATAAAGAAGCATATAGATTAACTAGGCTATTAAAAATCACTAGAAGAAATAAATACAAAAGTATATCAAGAGTCTAGTTACAAGGCTATCAAAAGATTAGTATTTTGAAAAGTTCTGTCAGTTTTAAGTAAGATCTAATAGAAAACAATATCAAAAAAATAGATATTAAGATTTAGATAAACTTTACAAAAATAGAAATAATGTAATATAACTGTTAAACAAATAATACCTGTGACTGCAAATGTTAGTCTGGCTTATAGATGCTAATAAAACTAGTGAAATTCTTGGTAAATGATGGTGAATAGTGGTGAAACCAGTGAAATAGCAGAGAGGTTAAAAGATACTTTAACACAGACAGATACAATACACAGGTAATAAAGATCAAATGAGAAAGTTTGTCAGAGGATGGAAGAAGAAAAGAATAGATAATATATGGTATACAAGATGCTAAACAACTAAAAAAGATAGTTAAAAAGAAAAAGAAGAAGATACTAGTAGAACATTGGCAAATGCAAAACAAAGAAGATGATCTAGCAACTGAAATCAGCAGATGTAATAGATGTACAAAAGAAGAAGAGACAGTAAAAAAAAGTTGTCAGTAATGGATAAGAATCAACAGCAAGATAAATACAATTCCAGATATGCTAATTAGGAAAAGCAAGAATATAATCAAGATAGCAACAAACTAATTGATAGGAAATGCAAGAGCAGAAGAGTCGAGAAAAGAAGAACAAAAGTTAATAGGATTCAAAACACTAGAGAGTCTAAAAATAGAATTGGCCAAAAGCAATACAAGACAGATTAGGATGACTCCTAAGTACAAGAACAAGATAGCAGTTTGTGAGCATAGTAGCAAAAACAGCCTGTGACACTTTCTACAAGCAGGTTTAGAGAATATAATGTAAAAAGATTAACAAATAGAAAAAAGAAATAAAAATAACAGGCAAAGCAAAGAAAAGAATCCAAAAGAAGAAGAAAAACCCAAGCAAGAAAAAGAAAACTAATCAACAAGAGATAAAAGAAAGGAAAAAGAAGGCAAAAAAAAAGGAAAATGAATTGAAGATGAAGTTAGAAAGACAATGTGAAAGCTTGTCATGAAAGGGAGAAAACCCTTCTATTACAAAATTTAAGTAGTCAGACAAGTAGCTTACTTCTGCTTGAAGTAATGTGACAAGTTGCACTTAGGTGCTATTAGGGTAGCTGGGTGATGCTAGGCTTAGTTGTTAAGTACATTTATGTAATTTACAAAATTAATTCTAAGAATCTTAATAAAGCATTAGCATGACTGCTTAAAGAAAAAAAAAATCAATTACATTATACACAAAGTTAAATTATACTTAAATAATATTTTACATAATATAGTCAATACTCTAGCTAAACATAGTGCAAACAAAACTGAACTTAAACTTAATCTTAACCACTTTTATCTATCTACTTTTTTTATCTAGCACCAAATATCAATTACATACAAACTATGCAAGTTTTGCAAAAACTTACTCTTAATCTAAACATTTAACAAACTTCTTCAACTAAAACCACTATGAAATCTTATTACTATAAATAATTTACTATTAACTAAAAATTATTAACTTTCAAAATTCCAATCTTAAACTATATTCTATTAGAAACAAAACACTTTTTAACAACTTACCAACAATGTTTAATTTAAATACCCACTACTCTCTTCTTTATTTAACTTCAAACTGCTTATATTATAACTTATATAAAAATACTGAACATCTGCTTTAATGTTTACTTCATTTCTACAATTCACAAAACACTCTTTATTAATAAAATTACCAATGTTCAAACTTATTAAACCTCTCCACATATGATAATACAAATTTTTAATTTACAAAACTCTCTTCTTAACTTTACTATATATAATATAATACTTTTACTTATTCAGAATACAATAACTCTTGACTAATATAAACAACTTTAACCTATTCTGAAAAAACTAACTAACAATTTTCTTATTTCTCTATCTAACTCTCTACTTAACTGTTTTAATTCTACTATTTGGCAAACTTGAAATATCAAACAACATGAATGAAAATAAGTATAAAGAATTACTGCCTCTACTAAAAGAAAAAACAATATTTGTTTACCTATTTTACAACCTTCTAACTCCAATAATACTACTTTCACTTTTAATACTGATATAAATCTCTTTATTTTTAAAACTTTTTCTCAAAATTTCACTATATATACCTGTTTTTATTAATTAAACTAATTTTAAGAGTTTCTTTTACCTCTTTCTGTAATTAATGATTATGATAGTTGATTTAACTAATAACAGAAAATTAAAAAATAATATTATACTAGATATCATTATATATATAGCAACAATAGTGTAGTTTAGAAATAATATTTTAGTTATATATTTATATTTAATTGATATATCCATATATTATTATTATTTTACTTGATATTATATAAAAAAAAAACTACAATCAGACCTTCCTAAATACACATTGTCAGAACTGGCTTTAAAGTATGCATTTAGAGAGGGTTGCAATTAGAAAGTATTAATAAAATTACAATGTGACTATTATTATAGCTTTAATAGTCTAGAAATAATAGATTTGGTTGGCTAATAATCATGTGGATACATTTATAGAGAGAGTTTTTATAAGTGGGCCAGACAATTAGCATGCACTTACAGAATAAAGAACATGTATACCAGGAACGGAGTTTGTACAATGTACAACGTAGTGTATGGTTTACAGGCAAGTTAATATGCGTGTGCGATTCTCA